TCCTCTCGAAATATGATTGAAGTAATCGACCTGTTGAATCTTGACGTTTAATCTTCTCACCCATTAGATTCAATGATTTACACAGGGTGGGTAATGCTTCCGTGTATTCGGGTTGTACAAGATACTCAAAGAGATGAGGCCAGAGAACTCGTTCAATATCATCTACGGTGGTAACAAGTAAATTCATCACGTTGTCAGACATTGTACGTAAATCTTTATTTGTTACCGTATCAACATCAGTTGATGACCTTCGAATAGCCAAATCCTCTTCACTTTCCTCTTCTAGAGCACATTGAGTGATAATATATTTAATCAGAGCTTGTCCACCCTCCAAATCAAGATAACCATGGTGAGCGATTGTAACAATTACTTGAGTTATTGCTCGACGAACTCGATTATTTTCTTCATCTAAAATACGACGAAGTGATTTAAATATTGCTGATAAACGGGGAACAATAAATTGACTAGAGGCATTAATTAAATGCTTTAAAATGGTAAGGGAACCAATTTTCGCCAATTCTGAGCTGGATTCAAGTTTAGCAAGTAACCATGGAATCAGGTATTCACTGTATTTTGAATTAAGGGTTGCAAATGACCGGAGAATCTCATTGTGATTACGAATTGAATTGGGCTGTTGATAATCGGGTAAGGCACATGTTTGGGTGAACAGGATATTGACAATTGTTTCCATTTGAGGTCGAGTTAAATTGGGTGATCCTCTCTCAATGATACACTCAAGAGCTTGATGTAAACTTTGGGAAGAATAGACAATCTCAAAATCATTGGTTGACAATGGAAGTGAAACCGTTGGCCGACGGTACATAGGAAGAAGTGAATTAATGAAACGTGGTACACCCTCGTTAAATGTTTTATCACTTAATAGTGAGATCATATTTCCAATTGCTTTGATAACAGATTCTTTAACTCGATTGTTACGAGAATTAAGCCATTCATGATAGAAAGCTTCAAAAAGTGCATCAATTTCCGCCGTAAAGTAAGACTTGTTAACCGCTGGATCTGGAGCTCGATCAATGTTGGACAAATATTCCTTGATAGATTCAGCAAATTGGCCAACACAATCGGAAAAGAAAATTCGAACAACATCTTTACGAATAACTGTTATCATGGAAACCATAGATCCAAGGAGAGCCTTAATATAACCCATCATTCCAAATGGATTAGCTGTGGCCATGGAACCAAGACATTTACATATTCCAATTGGAGGTGATGAATGAGGCTCAAATTGGGCAAGAAGCTTATCCATTATATCGGTTGTCTGATTTTTACTCAAACAAACAATTACTCCACTGGCGTATCTTTCATAATCAGTTAATTCCTCTAAATCTTTGTTGATAACGGTGATACAAAATTTAGTCAATGAGTCTCGAGTATTGGGATCAATTTTATTTAGAAACTCAATGCAAACCCTTTCGATACTGCTCATCAATTTGATCTTGCTTATAACTCGTACCTGAAGGGTAAATTAAAAATAAGAAAACAAAAACAAAATAATAAGATTAATGAGTAATGAAAATCACATCATAGATTTGCTAAATGGAGGGAGTTAATTGTATTATACATATACTGGAAAATCAGCAAAAAAAATATTCATTGGAATATAATGAATTCATTTAAACAATTCTCCAGCTGGATTAATATGATGTGGAACAATTAAGTTAATCATCAACTGACAATAAAACATTACGCAGCCACGCAAGGTAATCATTATAACTATGGAAAAATAATCCTAATAAACATGATGATAATATGGGAAATATTTAATAGGCTCATGGTAATAATATTAAACTGGAAAATGATGATGACCTTTATCATCCTAATCATAACATATTGTAACCCAATTACTTATGTTTAATTTAAAATTTATAATATATTATAAATCATCATGTATCTTGATAAACTATCATCATGAAGATTGATGGAAAATGGAAAATATCCAAATGAAAATCAATTGATTGGGTTTTGAACTTGAGAAAAAAAGAGTTAATTAGCAAAGGGATTGTGAGTGATTTAATCAGATTGAATTAGATTAGATGAACAAACCTCTCTTCCATCATCTTTTTGCAGGTAATTAAGGCAAGTTGCAAGAACTAAGGAACAGTGTTTACTTCCATATTGAACAATTATATTGCAAACATGATTACTGACAGTTTCTTGTTCATCCATACATCCTTTAACCAGAGCATCGACAATTAGCTCAGAATAATCTGTCAAAGGATAGAGAAAGTGAGAGTGAGAGTGAGATAAAATGGAGAAATCAATTTAAGAATTAAATGTTTCAATCAAGAGGCGAATTTAGAAAAGTTATGTTTCTAAAGAGGGGATAATAAGAAGAGGATTAATTAATTCTTACCTTCTAAATTTGTATCTACTTCCATATTGCATCCAAATTATTGGTTGATTTGAGTTTGAGGTATGTATGTATGTGTTTGTTGTTCCAAAATCAAATTAGAATAGAAATTGAAATGTTTATCCTTGAAAGGTCAAAAATCGCATATAATCTGTAATAAAACGAAAAAGTAAAAGGGTGAGAATTTCATCACAATAAGAGATTAATTAGATTTTATTATGAGAATAGAAAGAGATAAACAATCAATCAACAGGCAGAAAAGAAATGGAAATAAAATTTAAAAAGGTTAACCCAAATTGTCAGGTTAGGGAACCGGTGAGAGAAATAAATTGAACTCACAATTTTTTAGAATCAAATTGAGCTAATAAAACAAAAAGAGAAATCAATCAAACTAAACATATAGAAAATAAATTGAAAGGGTAGAGAGAGATTAATAAAAAAAAAGCGAACCAAGTAATAAGCTTAAATTGTCGTAGAAACAATTAAATTAAGAAAGAAGAGTCAAAAATAGGTAATCAAAAACGAATCAAGGTGAGTAAGAAAAAGTGACAGCTAAGATTTAGCTGAACTTGGGATTAGATTAAGAGAAAATGATTAACAAAACCATCATAAATAAACATAACAGGATAGAGAAAGAAAGAAAAACAATCAATTAATTAACTAATCAATTTAATCAATTGAACAATTAGTGATTTCGTCTACTAATTGACTAGAAAAAAAAGCCTCAAGCAAAATGGAAAAAAATTTAAGGCTTAAGAAATAGAAAAGGGTTAACATTGATCCAAAGAAATTGTAACAATCATCCGATTGATTCAAATTAATTAACAATTAACTTTACCTTTTAATTGTTTCCAGAGAATACAAATAATCACATAATCACAATTCTAATAAACAAACACACCTTTTATATTGAGTGAACAACTAGACTCATTGGTGAGAACAAAAAAAAAGAGTAAGAAATGGAGAGAGAGAAAAAAAATTCTCAATCAGCTGATCTGTTACCCGCTCTTTTCGGATTCCATTTTTGTTCAATTACAATTTTAAATTAATTGTTATTCCATTAATTATAATGATGAATATTTAATTTAAATGATTAGATGATTAATTTAATTTTCTTTTCGACTCTAGTGTTTTTCACAGTTTAACAGTTCAAATGGTTTACCAAAGTAAACAAAACTCGATGGCTGATTATCAATAGTATCCTGATTAACCGTTAATTGTGATTGATTGATTATTTGAGATTTAGGAAAATAAATGTTGATGGAAAATATTTACAAACAATTTATTAATATTTGATTGGTTTGCTTGGATTTACATGGAAATAGGTCACATAGAGACTCGGAACGGGACCAAACTTTGTTGATTGGTGTTGCGATTTTAATTGTGTTTACATTTTAGTTTTTTTTGCTACTCTTAATTGTTTACCGATTAATTCAAATTACCAATTCGACCAATCATTTTTTTACTATAGCTTTTGGATTTTCTAGATTTTTGTTTTGGTCTTTGTTTCTGTTCCATTGAAATTCGTGGTGGTGATGTTGATTTGGAAGATTTTGATTTAAATGATGCCGATGACGATGATGATGATCGTTTCTTGGTCGATAAATTGGCCTTGGTCTGAGATGTGACCTTTATTTTCGAGACTTGATTACTTTTCTTCTCAACTATTGGTATCACTTTCATAGTAACTTGTGGGATAATTTTATTCGGTGAAACAATTGGTAATAACGTTACGATTTCTTTGCATTTTGGACTTTCCGTCCTTCGAGTGATAGTTTCATCGACTTTAATCGAGTTAAATTTTTCCGGACATTTAGATGTAACATCAAGTCGATCTGCTTTCCAATTTACAAGTTTTTGAATAAAAGCCGATGATTTTATACGAAATTGATTCAATGTCGATGATGGTCCTTGTGATATGTTACTCGAAAGTCCAACAACTTTTGATGTTTGTAATATTGGGCTTGTAGTGGACAGCGATTTGGTTGAAAGTGATCGGGGATACGTTTGATTTTCAGAAAGTTCACTTTGCACCTTAGGTCTTGGACCGAGCATCGGCCATCTACGGCCGACATTGCCATCAGCTTGTTGATTTGACGAAACTGGACCAACATTATTTGAACCAAAACGAAATTTACAAAGTATCAATAAAAGGATAATGAGGAATATTAAAGTTATTGTTGTGATGATTAAACTCTTTTCAGGATTATCAAATAATGGATTGTCAACAATTTTTGTCCCATCAGAAGTGGTCACTTCGGGAGATTCTGAGTTCGTTTGATAATAGTAATTATTGTTGTCGTTGTTGGACATTTAAATGCGAGGCGAAAATATTAGATTGGAAAATGTTATTTACAATTAAAAGTAAAAGGGGGAAAAATGCTTCTCCATTAAGGATTTACACTGAAGAAAACATTTGATTACATTGATTAATTGAGGTTTAGTTACAAGATGATTTAATTAAGTCAATTGTTGTTGATTGTTATGGTTAATTGTTCCTCAAATAGGAAACAATCGTTATATTGGTCAAATGATCAAACTGGCACAAAAAGATGGACATGAAGAAGTATAAAAAAAAGTGATTCAAATGATGAATAAATAACAATATTTTTCAATTAGAATCTAATTAAAAGCAGATTCTAACGGTACTTATTATTATCCATTGATTGTAATATATACAATTGACTAGCAAATGAAGGTGATGGTGATGAGGATGAGGATGAAGCTGATCCTTTCGTGGTAAATGGTTGAATGGTCAAACATTTATCGGAAAAATTACCATGATGATGATGTAAATTGTGGTTATAATTGGATTTAGCTGTTAATAGATTAGTCGATGTTAATGATCGTGATAGAGTTAATTTTTCAAGTTGATCATTTCTCGACCAAGATGAACGGCAAATTGACCAAGCAATTAGGACAACAATTTGTGTGATCAATAAAATGCTGAAGATTAATACAAGTCCAGTATATGTTAGGCAGTTAAATGATGAGTACGATGATTGAGAAGATAAATTCAATTCATTTGGAATACTTTTTGAGTCTGAAAAGTTAAAAGGTAAACGTCAACAAATTAATCGATAATTAATTCTAATGGAATATAATTTATTAACTTGATTGTTTGGCTTACCTTTAATTATATCATATCGTCCATCTCGTTTGGTTGGTGTTTGTTTGGGTTGATTTTTACCTTCGATGAAATCGAAACCATCTTGAATACGAATCGATTGTAGGACAATTAGATCTTGTTCTGTTGGTGGTGGTGTCGATTGGTGGACATTTCGTCTTCTTCGTCTTCGTTTACCATAGGAAAATGATTCTTGGGTTGAACCATCAAAACCATCCGAGAAACAATGGATCGGCTGACATTTGGCCAAACACGGTGATACTACCGCTCGAAAGTTGACAATATCTGAGGTCGGAAATTTAAACGCTTCAAAGGTTGTCTCAAGGGTTTTGGCCGCTCCTTTGATTCGTGATATTGGTCCCATCACGGCGATATCAATAGGACAACCATCGGCACCGATAAGTTCAATTTCACTTCCATCTACTCCATCGGAGGCCACTAATGAACGGATGAAAATTTCATACGGTGAAGGTTCATCGATAATTGAAAATCGTAAAGTTAATTGATCACCAATCTTTGCCGCTCGAATTGGAGATCCAAGTCTATCGGTAACGGTAATTGTCACATTCGGGGAATCAACGATCGACGAGTGGACAAATCTTTCATCTTTAGCTGCACCAATTATCTCACTGAACAATTAACAAATTGTAAGAAAATAACAACAATGATTAATTTAATTTTACTTTTGATTTAGATTTTGAATATGACATAACAAAAAGAAACCAAAGTAAATCATATTAGCAATTAACTTTGAAAACCTTGTTAACTGTTAACAATTAAAAATTACAATTGTGTGCAAACAATATAAAAGATTACACAAGATTTAATTACTCCATGTTAATTGTTACCATTTAGTTGATTACAAAACAAAATTAAAGGAGTAATTTAAATTTCTCAAGGAAATAAATCTTTCTCAATGTTATGTATTATTATCATTTTAAATTGTTGTAAAACAAAAGTTGATTGTTAACCATTGATAATATACATAAATATAATCATTGTTTACATGATTAGTTAATTGTAATTACCCAGAGAAAGCAAATTAATTTCAATGTTAATCACAACTTGTTTATTTTTTCATTCATTATTTAACCAACTCGATTATTAATAACATCAACTAATGAGTTTATTTAACTTTATCCAATGTAAATAATTAAGGTTCATTGACCAAATCATGATGACGATTGGTCAACAATTAGATTCAGGGTAATAACAATTTAAAGTAAATCAAATTTAATTGTTGTTTGCTGAAATGGTTAACCCTTGATTGACAAAGTTACAGAAATGTAATAAAAAAAAACAAGACTTCAACTTTAACAATTGAATGTTGAACAATCAACAAACTAATGGGACAATTTAAAAGATCAAATTTTAATCCAGTTTAAATGATGAATTAAATATTAATGATAATGATTTAAAAAATCTTTAGACTGATTAAAAAGTGATTAACTGAGTTATGAGAAAAATTAAATTGTTATTAAATACTGGCCGTTGATTTTTCCTTAGCACTTAATACAAAGTGTAAGAATCAATTAATCAATGTAACTAATTAACTTGTTGATGTTTTAATTATTATGATTTATTTTGCTTTTACTATTTAAATAAACAGGAAGGAAAGTATATTTAATATGATGGAAAGAAATTAAATTTAATCATAAAGTGGAAAAACTTTAACTTGACCAAAGGAAGTTGATGGTCAAGGTTAATTATCATCGATGATTAAAGATTTGATGATTGATTGACCATGAAATGGAAAGTTTAAATTGTAAACTATTAGATTTACAATCGTTATTATTAATAGTAATCAGGAAAATCAATATTATCATTACTGATCTAAGGTTGATCAATGGATATCAGTTAATCCTTGATTACTGAATCAATTGATTTGATTTATTAAAAGTTGTGGTGAGAATGAAAAATAAATCTAATTGTGTTGAAAGTTATCATGATTACTTTTCCGCCGTTTAATTTAATAATTGCTGATCATATACTTTCAATATTGGACATGGGGCTTGATTGTTAATCTTAATTATTTTACAGTAAAAGTTTGCATTTTGTAATCAACTTAATTGGTGACAATTTGTACGGAAAGAAAGTGTCAACTATTGTTGATCAACTTACCCATCTGATTCAAAGACAACGGTATTGACCACAGTTTTATTGGTCAAATCATATGAACACTGGACAGATAGGCCAAGATCTTTGGTGGTGACAATTAAATCATGATGTTGAAGGACAATTTCTGATGTATATTTAGCACCATCATCACGTTTAACAGCACAATCAACATCATTATAGCCCAACGATAATTCAAATGATAGACTATTGTTAATGTCCATTACACAGGAATTGGGCTTCGATTTACCGTAAATTTTACCATTGAAAATCCTGTTGGTTCGAACTCTGGTCAGCATATCTCGAGATCGGCAAACAATATCGACTAATATAAATAATGTAATAAAGAGGGAATATCAATGATTAGTCTTAATTGTTATTCTTTTTGTCAGGTTAATCAATTGTCGCTGATTTATTACCATCGTAACAAGAAGTAAGCTCATAGGAAACTGCTGGAGGAATCTCAAAATAAGCATCGTTTATGTGATTAGTTGATGATGAATCAAGATGAGAGATTCGACAAACTTTACTAATTGTTGGATCTCCAAGATCAAATGAGAAACAACGAAATTCTGATTGTAAACATTTAGCTCGACATCCATCAGTTGATTTAATCTCCGGATAAACTGAATCAACAGTTTTCAATAATCGTCCTCGTATCGTTTTAAATTCACACAATTTTTTAGGCTCTAAAATAAGTGATTAGAAATTGATTAGCTGATTGATTTATTGATCGTCATTTGATTGATCGTTTTTTTTTACCTTGAATACAATTATTTTCAATATATTCTTGACCAGGAGCTGATCTGAAGTGACGATCGGTACTAAATGGTGTAACAATTGAATGTCGATCCATTTCTGATAAACTACATTCACCGGTAGCTCGATTGTAATTAGCTGATCGACATTGAAAACTGGTCTCAGTGTAACATTTAACCATACAATCTGATTTGGTCGGAGATGAGGCCAATTTAGAGGTATAACCGGTCAATATATGACTTGGAACAGTTTCAAAGACCCACGATTTTTGGCAGACCGGTTCAATTGTAACACCAAGACAAATTTTCTGTGCATAAATTGTAAACACGGGAAAATGTGATTTATTCAATGAGGCTGGACGATTAGAGGCACTGGTACTAAAAAGGACACAAAGTCCCGTCTCAAAGTTAAGCGATTGACAAGTTGAATTGGATCGGCATCTATTGAGACAATCAGTTAATCGTAAAGTTCCCGGTATAGTTGCAATTGATTCCGATGAAGATGAATAAACAAAGCCCGTAATTAGCTCAAAACTTAAATCATTCTGATCACAAGGTCCACCTGAAATTAATCCATCGAGAACAATTAGTTAATCATTGAGAGAGAGAAAAAACTTCTAATTAATATAAAAAATCTCATCTCGAGGTTTAAACGGTGAAACCAATTTTACTTTTCTGTAGCAATTTATAAATTGCTACCTGTTAATTGTGAAAGTTGGAAAGTAACAGAAAAAAATTCAAACGGTTGATTACAGTTCAATGTAATTGTTTACCATTGTAATGTATTGAAACGACAATTAAGTGATGATGATTAACACTAATGACATTTAAAGTGTTCAGTAGTTGAAGTAAATACTAAAGGTTGAATTGACTTTCACCTTTAGGAAAATGATATATATATAAATTGTGAACAGAAACAGTAACAATTTACTGATTGTTACGGGATAAAAAAAAGAGAGCCATAGATTAGATTGTCTATTAAAGTTTAAATGGTTATCAACCATTTAGAAATAGTAATCAAAGGAAAATTATTACAATCAACATGATTTCAAACTAAATCCTAGTTGAAATTTTAAATTGTTGAGAAGCAGAAAAAAAGTTTAGTTGAATGACCCAAACAATTTAAATTGTTTAATCAGCTAAATCAAGTTGAAGTTTTTTAAACACTTTCTCTGGATGATTAAGAATTAAGAAGAAAAAAAAATCTAATATACTTTCTGTTTATCGTAACTGTTAAATTGCTGCCAAATTGTTGAAAGGATTAAATTGTAACAATCAACTTTATTCATTAATTTAGTTCAACAATCAACTTTCATTATTCATGGTTAATGATATCAAGTCATCATCATGATATTGAACAGATTCACTTGTCAACATGATGACCAGAGACAAGAATTTTTTTCATTACTCTGACTGGACATTGACCAACAGGATGATGATGATGATAAGTAATGACCGGAAATATGAATCTCTTTCCGGTTATCTATTATATTTAATTGTCTTGTGAGTTAATTTGTATGGTTTAAGTTTAAAACTCTCTCTCTCTATGTGTTAATTGTGCTAATTGTTTTTCACTCCTCCTCCTTTGGCACCTTTGATTGTGCTCGGAAATTAATTGACAATTAAAATTGTGACTTAATTAACTTTTCATTAAAAAAGTTACTTGGTGTTAACTTGAATCCTTCTTGGTTTAATCATCAATTATCACAATCAGTTAATCATTTACAATTTAGTATGTTTATCAAAATTAACATTATATTACAATTTAAATTATGATAGCAACGATTAATTGTAAAAGTTTAATTAGTTGATTTGATTCACTCTTTCTAGTCTTAATTGTTATAGTAGTTGAGAGGAGTTTCTAAATTTTAATATTAATTGTTTATCATTTTGTTTTTTTTCCCAATCGGAAGATGATTAACAACCAGATTAATTATTTCATGCAGTTAATCATCAATATTAATGATGATTTAATCTTAATTATCGTTTATATTGATTGAAGATTCACCCACAATTAAGGTACCATAATTAATGATTAAAACAAATCATCAGCTTATTGTGTCAGAATATTTTTTGACAAAAACTCACAGAAATGAGGAAGTGATTTAACTTGATCACTATTAGTTAATCCGGTGAAAGGTCAACAATCAAAAGTAAATATAGTTACAGTTGATAATGATTACAATTAATAACTTTGCAGAGATGAAAATTAAATCAACAGGAAACTTTAAGAACTGGATTTAAGTAATAATAATGAATATTGATTGTGACAATTTGATGATTAGTTTAGATTATGGGAACACACAATTTACCTAAAAATCAAGTTTACAATTGAAAATTAGTTGATTAAAATTAACGAAATAAACAAACAACTAAATCATGTTGATTAACTTTTACGGGAACAACAATGATTACCATTAAATTGCAATCAAACTGTGGAGTTAATCATCATAAATTGTAAATTATCATCGTTATAATTAACAAATTGTAATGTTAATTGGGTTTAATTCATTTTTCATCTTAATAGTTTGGCAGTTGAACAGAAATTGTTTTTTTTTCGTAACTGAATTAAAACTAAATCAAAAGTCATTGAAAGTTAAAGAGTTGAAAAAAAAGTTAATCAAAATTGTAAGAATTGTAATTAATTGATTTCAGACTAAAGTTACATTAAATTTAAACTGAATCAACGAATTCAATTGTAATTAATCAAATTCCCATGTTAGTTAATTGTAATTTCCGAGATGAACATTTGAAAATAAATGTATATTAATCATACAATTTAATATCTTCATTGTACAATTTAACCGCAGGGATAAAACAACAGCAGTAATCAGAAAGTGTTAAGCAATTAGTTGATTTAATTAATAAAAATGATTTTAATATCCTAATAACAATTAAGGATCTTAAAGTTAATCGTGAGAGTAACAAAAAAAAATCAAGGACAAAGTTTGATCACAATGTTAATTGTTGATCGTTAAGCGAGTTAATGAATTTAAATCATAGTCTAACTAACTAACTAATTCAACAATTAACAATAATCATTTGATGATTTAACTTTAATCAACATTAGGTATCTTCATCAGCTGATCAATTGTTTACGGAACTAAATTGTTACTGGAAATGTTTAATCTTCAAGTTTCCCCATTGAACTAATCATCTTAATCATTTGATTCCCTGTTGTGATTAGGATTAAATTACAACAAAAATCAAGAGCTATTAACTAACAACAGGAACAATTTAATCAAGAATTCACAATCTATTTCTGGTTTAATGTAATAATTTGAAGGTCAATGTTGTAACAATTAATTACTTAATACCGTAGTAGGCGTTGGGAACAATTAACGTTGATTACAATTAATAATCAACAGGTAAACAAAATACAATTAAAAAGAAAAGCTTCCGAAAATTGTATTTACAATTAATAGTTAAATTTTGCTGTTGTTTAATTGTCTAATATTTAATTACCATGATTAATACATGGAAATGATCATTAATCATAAGCAAAAAACTTTCACTTTCATAATTGAACTTTCTGATTAGTTTTAATTTAATTTTAATTATCAACAACACTAAGGTAATTGTTTTAAGTGTACATACAATTATTAATAAATTCAATTAACATCTTCATGTTAATGATACAATTTATTTAATTGTTTCGCTATGATATTTACAATTAGCAAAGGTTAAATATTGAACTTGAAAAGTTTTCGGTAACAATTAAGTGTAACAAGAAACGTTTCCGACTCTAATAATAAAATCAAATCAAATCGTAATCAACTAATCAATATGAAAATTTATTACACAAGTCACACCTTGAATCGCCCAACAATCAACATGGGTGAAGTTAATTGTAATTAACTAATCATAATAAACTTTATATTTCAAGTTGCATTGAATCAAATTTGTATTTTTTTTTATTAACAAGTTTTGGTTAATCAATTTGTTGAGAAGTGTTTTATTAATTAACTTAATTGTGACATATACAAAGCAAAGAAACCACCAGAAAAGTGTAACAGTTAATTGTGGTTAGTTATATACAATTAAATTAACATCGTCCACCCTTTAAATTAGGTTATTAATTTAAATTGTAACTTGATTGTGCGTGTTGAGGTTCAATTTTACAAACTAAATTAGATTTGATTGTTGTGACTACTAATCATACTGGTTGTAATTTAAATACATATATCATGGGAAATTGTTACAATAATCATACCAGAATTAAGAGTTGATTTAAATTGTTGAAAGAAAAAAAAATTTCTAATCCAATTATTATGAATTTGATTCTTAAATTGTTGTTATGATTATCATCAAGTTAATCATATTATTCCTATGTCTCCTTTTTTTAATCATGATCATCATTTGGATTAACTTTTCCATGTCATAATCATGATTGTTGTATAAAATAATCAACTAAATTGTTGTACTCAGGTAATCATGATGATCGTAATCCTGATTGTGAATGATAATAATTATTGTTACTATCAAGTAACCAGGAAACACATTGGTTAGGCTGCTAATCATGATTATCATTTAATCAGATTGTTAAGGTTACTCTTGATTTAGTTTAAATTGTAATAGTATATGAACAATTTAAATGTTTGACCAAACAATTTAACTCTGACCCATTGGTAATATTAGGTTGTCATCTTTATCAATTTCTTGATGTTTAAATGATACTGATGATGATAAAATTAAAGATGACGACATGTAATTTAAATTGACAATTAAAATATTATGATTAAGCTAAGGATCAACGAGTGTATGTATCTTAACAATTAAGCCTGAGGCTAAATTGTTACTATCGTTTTTTTAGGATAAATTAACTAAAATTTATCATCTCTTCCTGATGAACATAATCTGTGGTCAAACAATCAACATAAATGATAATTAATCAAACAAGATTATCAACTTGACCAATACAATCAAACAAAAAATCAAGATTCGGTTCAAACTTGTTGATTGGCTAAAGATTAACAAACAATTTAACTAATCATATTGTTCACATACTAAAGGTGAATGTTGATAGTTGACAAATTAATTGTCATTCCAATTGGTTGATTGCCAATTAAATAGTAATCAAAATAAATACTGAACAATAATTTTCAATCAAGGATGAAAAAACTGTTTCTTTGGATTGTTTTACTTAAGTGATTTAGTGATGGTCAGTTAGTTGGATTGACCATTGATAATAATGATCATTTTGTACTGATCCGAATTGGGAAAAAATTGTTTTCTTTTTCACTATTTCAACCATTTTAACCCATTTTATTTGGATAATGAATCCAAAATGATTACATGGTACATTTTTTTCACCATCATCATGAAAAATAACTTGTTAATCAACTGCTTCCTTTTCCTGTTTCCAGGAAAGATAAAGATTATCAAGATTACTTCCTAAATTATATCCATAAATATGATGAATCATAAAAAAAGGGTTGAAATTGAATGAGCATTTATTGTTTCACTCTAAAGGTCAGTTAGGGTCACTTTCGCTGGACCAAGAATGGGATGATAAGGATGATTATGCTCAAGTGATTAAAGTTAATTAATTAGTATTCATATCTAGAGGAAAAGTAATAATATTAAA